ACTGCCGACCCCCTAATCCAGGGTGTTAAGCGACACCGTGCCTATTGGAGGGTTTGCAGCCAGGGGGTTTACCAGACCGGCTGTATTATAACGGCGCCTTCCTGACACCGGGCCGCCTCAGGGAGTAACGGTGGCCTTGCTGCGGCATGGGGCGCTGCCGTGGTGTACCGTTTGAATTCCCCATTATATTACTTAGACCACTGCGCCCGCCTCGTCGGGCAGGTGGTCGTACGACCAAGATGAATACAAATACTTACTTAAATAACACTTATAAATCAAACGAGAGGGCTTTGGCCGATCTGTTAGGTCAGCTGGTGAGGGGTAGAAACACCTCACCGACTGGATTTAACAGAGGGGGAGTAGGAGGAGGTAGTGGAGTTAGTGGCGGTGGTGGTGGTGGGCCCATGAGCAATTATGGTAGTTCATCAATGGGACCGAGTAGTGGAGGAGGTGGTGGTGGAGGTTGGGGTGGAAACGCGCCTAATGATTGGAATCAAGGTGGAGGTGGCGGCGGTTTCGGTGGGGGTGGTGGTGGCAGTGGCAACATTATGCCACTGATGCAACGTGGTGGGGGAATGAATATGAATAATAGCGGGGGTGGAGGAGGCGGTTATGGTGGTGGTGGTGGTATGAATGATAACTTCGGTGGGATGCAACAGGGGAACAACTTTATGTCACGAGGCAACCAAGGTGGCTTTGGTGGCATGCAGCCGAGCCGGGGAATGAACAATAGTGGTTTTGGCGGTGGTGGCTATTCACAAAGTGATAACTTTGGTGGCGATGGTGGCTTTGGCGGTGGTCCGTCACCTCAGGGTGGTCGTTCACGCGGTACGTGGGTTAGTGGAGCCGCGAATCGTAGCAACCGCAATGCGGCACCGCCGCGTGGTAGTAGTCGTCCGTCGAATTCAACGCCAGCCAGACGAAGCTTAAGCGATACAAAAGCACCACTATCATCGAGAAATAATCGCAGCGGTGGTGCTTCTGCTTCAGGCAACGCTTCAAGACCTGTGCAGGCGCAAAAACGTAGAGCGCCCGAACCTTCTCCCGCGCCAACAAAAGCTAAGATCAGTGCGAATAATGCTAGACCAACGTCCGTTCAAGGAAATAAGACGGGCGGAGCCGCTGCAGAGCCTAGAAGGGTGCTGACACCAACTGGTGGGCGTTGGTACCAACATTTCTTGATGAAAGGGCTGAAACCAGAAGAAGCCCGCAAGATAGCTTTTGAGAATAATAACAAGCCATTCACCGCTGGCAATGAAGGGGCAGCAAAGAAGAATGCCAGATCAAGACCTCCCCGCGTAGAAAATTACGTTCGCGTTGCAATTTACGCGAAAGGGTTTCCCGAAAACATGTTGGATCCCGAAGATCTATCGTCTCTCGAAGAACTGATCATCGATGAGGTTGCCAACAGTAGCGCCGAATCGAAATTGCAATTTGAAAGATTACTTCGAAAGCCGGGCATGCTTATATTAGATTGCCTAAATCAGCAAACCGCCGATTGGCTTACAGATATCATCCCCAAATTGACCAACTGGGAAAACCCCGAATTGGTAATTTGTAATGAAGAAAACATTCCAGATGCTTATGTAATGACTATCTCGTTGCCAAGAAGTGTTGGCCAAGATTACGATCAAACCTTGGCACTAATTCAGTCCCAAAATGACGATTTAGTCACCGATTCGTGGGAATGGGTGAATGAGCGCGAAGATGGTGATAGATTAGTTGTCACCATACGCATTGACAAGGAATCGCATGCGGCTATTAAAGAGAAGAGGTGGAAGATATTTTACAAATTTGGTGTAATTGATGTAAATTTTGCCCGCTATGTACGGTTTGCGCTAAGTAAACGCCTTACCGAAGAAGCCGCGGTGACTAACAATGAAGGCAAAGAAGGTGAAACACAAGCTGAGGAAGGCGAAAAAGAAACAACTGCTGAAGCAGAGGAGGACCACCCACCCTCACCACCGCCAGCTCCTGTAATCAGCAAATAAAAACGGTAAGTGGTTTGCAAAGTTTTACCTATATTCCCAATTTGTATGTAAACTGCTAATTGCCAATTTTGCTTTTCTTTATTAATTAAGTTTTATCTTTTTTAATTAATTAACTTTTATCTTTTTTCAGTATACGGTATCTGCATTCTTACTTGAGTTCTTATCATCCATGAAATTTATCCTCAACAATTGATCATATCGAATATTTTACAACACTCAGCTGGGCAATGCGGCCAATGTGTAAGTACATAATTTATTATTATTATTTTTTGTTTTTTTACTTTTGTAGATATTAACTCTCGATAGTCATTAAGACCGACCTCCCAGTTTCCTATTTGCATTTTACCTATCCTTGCGTAGCGATATCATTGAAGTGACTACCTCTATCCTGTATCCAAGTCATCCATTAGATTGGAGCGGCAACTTAAAGTACACGCGGTACTACCGCTGCGGTATAAGTCATATTTGATGCGGTAACAATGAAAGAGCGAGGCCCTCAAACTGATTCGTTACCGTACACTGCGGTATGCATTGCATAGATTTTCAACGTTACCAAATTTTTTCACTCAACTCGGCACTTATTATCTTCCATGCTTCATAATTCTGGCAATTTTTATTATCCGGATGCTTCAAATCGTATAATATGGGTAACGTTTCCCTTGCTAAATTAATAAATCCAGTTCAGAATTTGGCTGCCAGTCAAACAAATGTGTACAACTCTACCACGAAAAAGTTGATCATACCTTGATTTTCGATCGCAGCGTTCCACAACGAGGCTCCCATATACCGCAATGTTTTTTATTGACCGCATATGGTAAATTTCTGCAGTAACAACACACAAATTTCCGAAAAAGCCCTTGGCCACTTATAAATCTGGATCATAGACCCGACTGTCGTGGGAACAATTGTAAATTTTTCAACCGCAGCGGTAGTACCGCGTCTGTTGGAGCGCACCTTTTTTAAAATTCTTTCGTTCGCACTTAAAGTACGCCTATATGTATATTTGGACATACTTTCTATACTATAAACAAAAATCTGTTAGAAATATATTGGCACTCATATGCGCTTCCTAAAACTTTTTATTGATTATTCCGTTGTTGTTTTTTTAATAATTTTTGCAGTTGGACGTTTAAGCGCTGTTTAAATACGATTAATGGAAAACTCTCTCAGTAGCTTTAGCAAAGAACAAACGGTAAAACACTCCGAAGGCATTGGCAAACAGCAACAATCGTCAATGGGGATTCAAGAAGTCGACGAAAACAGGGAAATTTATACATTTCGTGAGCTGAGCTGAATACCCTGACGAATTAATTGGTGTGTAACTTTCATAATCATGTCAATTGTTTCGGAAATTATCATACAAGTAATTACTTTAAATTATTTAAATTATACCTGTACAATAGTAAGTTTTTGCTGTGCAAAGCTGTTCGTGCAGCTCTTTGTCATACCATACATACATCAAGCACACTCTAATTAATACAAAGTTTGTATACCGCCTGCGTCAATAAAGTATATCTTACCAGAAGACGATACATAAAAGGAACCATCTAAAAGAAGTTTTTGTTATTTACGGAATTTAAAGCAAATGAAGACTCAGTTTTTTTTTTTAAGGAGTTGGAAGTAAATTGCTGTAGTTTAATTCCATTGGTTAACCTAATTCATGCTATGTATATTTTGAAAATATTATCTGTCGGGAACAAAGTGTAGAGCTTTAGCCGCTGAATTTTGCTGCAACATATCCAGGAATATTAGACAGAAAAGTTAAAATTAGGGAATTATTAACAGAAAATGGTAAAAAATAAGTTCAGTTGGTGTATTTTTAGGGCGTTTCCAATTTATATATTTTACTAGTTCAGTTGAGTTCTCCAAATGAATGATCTTCATTATTGAAGTCTACGTTTTAAATAGGGCTATCACAGAATACATCGTGGCTTCGATTTTTGGGAAATCTACGAAAGTGCTATCACAGAATCCGAATGGCTACCAACGTAAATTCGAAATCCGTAGAGAGCCTACATCCTCTGCTAGACGAATGAATATTTTTTATGAAGCGAGGAAATAATAGTTTAACAATTTATTAGGAAAGAAACCTAATTACTTTAATATCATAAAAATTAACTTAAAAAAATATATATTTTTGTCTTTAAAATAATAAAAGCTAAACTAAAAAAAAATTATTAAAAAAAAGAAATAAAAATTAAATAAAAAGAGAAAAAAAGCTCCGCTGCCCGACAACTCGGACTCGAACTCGAACTCGGGTCTTTCAATTGGCAGTCTAGTGCTTTGCTCACTCGGTTGTTGTTGTAGCAGCATACAAATTCCCCAAAGACATTTTGGGGAGTGTTGCTGGAGTGACAGTCCTTGGCCAGATATAAATCTGGGTCGTTCCGGTTACGCAGACCCGACTGTCGTGGGTCATTGCGACTGCTGGGGCAGAGTGAGCAAAATGGAATACATAAATGTCTATTGTTTCCTTTGCACTAGCAGATTTCGAAGCTGGCAACGATATTTTCGAGCTCACTCGGATTCACTGAGAGCAATTTTTTCGTATTCGTAGCAGGCATTCGAATTCGTACATTTTCTACGATGGGTTCTGTGATAGCCCTGAAAAACTATATGCACATATATCGTCGCTACCATGATAAACTATCGAATTGTGAAAATGAGTACTTTTCAGGAGAGCAAAAAAAAAAATGTAAAAAATGTTATTGTCATTAGAAAAGTGTAGGATTCGACTCCGCTTCTAAGACTAGAAATTCGATGATTCTATATGTATGCGCAAGGTAATGTAAATGTGAAAGCATTTTTGAAAATTCTGTAGTTTGACATCGTAGCGATGATGATATATATGTACATGCGTGTCTAAATAATTAATAAAAAATTTTAATTTTGTCTCATTTTAACCAGAAAGTGTTTTAGTTTGACGGAAACTTGCCAACGTAGCAAACGTTTGTAGGTTAGGTTGCCGTTGTAGAGACACTTGCCATTTTTTGAGTGAGGGATAGAAGCGTAGTAATTTTTTTTTCCCCCGCGATGGCAGGCACCTTGTCGTTGGTGCGGGGGCTTAGTCGAATCATTAATCAGACCTTATCAGCGGGTGGTAGTGTAATCGTCTCTTTACCTCCGAGTACTGGGCGAGTGCACTCCATTCCTCTGGTTCGGGCTGCTTTTGAACGATGACCAAGAACTGCCGACCCCCTAATCCAGGGTGTAAAGCGACACCGTGCCTATTGGAGGGTTTGCAGCCAGGGGGTTTACCACATCGGCTGTATTATAACGGCGCCTTCCTGACACCGGGCCGCCTCAGGGAGTAACTGTGGCCTTGCTGCGGCATGGGGCGCTGCCGTGGTGTACCGTTTGAATTCCCCTTTATATTACATAGACCACTGCGTCCGCCCCGTCGGGCAGGTGGTCGTACGAACAAGATGAAGACAACTAAATATTCAAATTATAATTCAAACCAACAAGTTTTAACACAACTATTAGGTCAGTTGATAAGGTCTGGCGACTCGTCAAATGGCTATGGAGGAGGAGTGGGAAGACAGAGGAGTAACATCAGGCGCTCAGCTGCCAGAAATGCTAGGCGCCGACTTGCAGCTAGACCACAGGCTAGTGTAGCAGCAAGAAGACCAACGAATAGTTCCAGTTCGAAGCCAGGTGGTGCGTCGCAAGAAGCAAAGACTACACCGCAAAAGAGAAATGCCACAGAAAGCAGCGGCGCACCTGAAAAGAAAAAAGCAGCTTTGGATGAAACGGCAAAAGGTGGTGATGAGAGTAAAACATCCGCAGATGATCCTTACTTGAAGGGCTTGTGTGAGGATGGAGTGCGATGGTACCTGCGCTTCTTGAAGGAGGGTCTTGATCCTAAAGCCGCTTGCAAAAAAGCTTGGGAACAGAGAACCGAACCCGTTGAGTTTGAGCCGCAGTGGGGTAAAGAGTTTTTGGTGAGGGAAGTTGAAGAAGAGCCTAAAAACCACAAGCAACGACAAAGACGGCGAGGATTAAAAAAGCCTGAAATCAATGAAGATTATCGAATTGCTGTGCATCCAAAAGACTTCCCAGATCAAATGCTTGATTTGCCATCGCTAGCACGGCTGGAAGAGGCTATCTCAGCGGAAATCGCAAAAGGTGCAGATGCAAAGATCCAATTCGGATATTCTTATCTGCGGCCAGGTGCATTAATTCTCGACTGTGTAAATGAAGAAACGGTCAATTGGCTGAAAGATATTGTTAACAAGCTGCCAGAGTGGGCAGGGCCTGATTTGATCGCAAGTCAAGAACGTGTAATTCCAGACGCTTACGTCTTGACGGTCGCATTACCGAAGAGCCTTGGCCAAGAATTCGAGCGCACATTGGCCTTGATTGCGGCACAAAATGAAGATTTAAATACTGAAGTGTGGAAATTTGTGAATGAACGCGAAGAGAATGAAAAACAAGTGGTAACGATACGTGTAGATAAGGATTCATTCAATACGATGAAGAGAAACGAATGGAAGTTATACTACAGATTCGACAAAGTCAGCGTACATTTCCACCGCTACTTAAGATATGGCAAACAACCTACATTATGGATAACTAATCCCAGCTGTCACAAACAAAATCAGGTGAAACCACCTGGTCCAGCTAATGCAAAATAAATAAAAAAGGTGAGTTTCTAAAAACTACATAAATTTACGACATATATAGATGTAATTATTTTGGGGAATGCCCAACAAATTTATTACACGCTTATTATTATTTTTTTTCAGTTCAACGCTTTCCTAGTGTCATTCGGTTAATTGGTTGATGTCTGTATTCAGAAAGATGCTACACATTTAAAACTTATACAACAACAGCTCCGATGGATATATATGAGAGTTGCGGGAGATTGCAAACAAGAACTTTAAGATGTGGTGAGTAGTATGCAGTAACTACATTTTTTTTTAAGTATATTATGTTTTGTGATCCCATTGCAAAAAAAAACAAGTAATTTTTAGCAAAAAAAAACCGACTTCAACTCCCATATAAGAAAATATATATATATATCAGGGACGTGAACCGGTTTTGAACCGAACCGGTTTTGAACCGGGAAACCGCTTTTTTTCTATTAATTAACTGAACCATTAACCGAACCGAAATTTTCCACAAATGTTTGATCCGAACCGAAAACCGAACCACTTTCTATAAAGGTTTAAAGGTTCGTTTCAACCAATTTTCAATAGATAAATGTACCCACTTTTTTCTTTTTGTTAAACATGGTAATACCTACCATGTTTGTTTACCATGTGACAATATCAAATGTAAAGGCAACCCATCTCATTTGACAGACACTTGACCCTTAAACTTGCGCGTTGTTGCACTTGACAATTGACACTTAAACTTGCGCGTTATTTTTTTTGTTTTTCGATCCGTTGAACCGAACCGAAACCCCGGTTCAAAGACCAAAAAACCGCTTTGATGAACCAATCCAAAAGTGCAAAAAAGGTTCGAACCAATGAACCGAACCGACCAAATTTTTCATTCGGTTCACGTCCTTATATATATATATATATATATATGGTCCAAAGTTATGCGGTAACATACATAAAAAAAAAATATATATTCCGACGAACTGATAACCTCCTCCTTTTTTGGAAGTCGGTTAAAAATAGGTGAAGTGAATGAGTGGCACAGAAGCACTTCAGTTCTTAAAATTTTCTAACTTCTTTATGACATTAGCAAAGCTAAAAGCTGCTCATTTATATGCATTTCACAATTTTTTGTACAAAAAAAATCTTCTAATTACATAATTGTATACATACACACACAACAATACAAACTAAAATATTACTCCATCGATTTTTTTTTTATTATTTCTTTAAGATTTAGTGAGTTAATTGCTTTGCTATATTCCTTGGTTTTCTACTGCTAATTTCTTCAGCAAAAGTTAGTTAAGTGTTGAAGTGGCGATTGTTGGTCCGGTTATTCAGCAGCACATACGGTGACATGGGAAATAAATATGTATGTATGTTGCCATAAACCCCTTAACTATAACCAGATTTTCGAAAATAAATCACATGCTCGATTGTAGCTTTCTCATAGCAGTAGACTTTAAAGTTGACTGTTGAATGTACATATGTATGTATGTATGAGAGAAAATATATATTTTATTTTTAATCATTATGTAATGTAATATTACTGTAAGGTAGATATAAAATCTGTGCATACATATGTATGTAGCTATATTTATAATTGAGTTGCATAGAAATACACATAGACACAATGGAGCCGAGCTTCTTACAATTTCGTCCTTTTTTTGTTAAGAATCATTTTATTAGCTTATAGTCAGAATTTAAATTTTTTACAACTAAATACATACATACCTATGTACTAAATGTAATTATTGAGTACCTTTAGGAGATAAATTAACACAATTTATTTCTATAACAAACTACGAACTTCGCTTCTTAATTCCTTTAGCAGGCTCATATGAAACGTCCGTGATTCTTGAAATCTGCTTCTGAGTTTCTGCAAAATTCATAGTTACTTGAAAAAATATAGTTTTCTTTCTAATTAGTGCTCTTAGTACTCCTTGGTGATATACATACCGCACGTTTAATAATATAGAGATGTAATTCAAAATTAAATTTTTTGGAGATTCCATCAAATAATTATTAAGTTAGATAAAGGAGAATGTGTTCGGCCTAACAGATGACAAAAGTCCTAAAAAATGGCAAAGATATGCTCTTTCTATTTGTCTTTTGATATACCAACTGAAATTTTGAAATACTTCCGTTATATTATTATTAAATGTGCGATATTTCTCCTATCATTACATAACTATTTACTTCCTTTAAATTTCGTAATAAATAGGCCAATCATTTTGGTTTTTCTGATTTTCCACAGTTCGTTGTTGGCGTTTATAGTTCAACAAAGACGACGACGACGACAGCACCTGTTCCGGCAACTTGGGTATATGATCACCACTCGGATGATAGCCATTGGCATCAGCCACGTATGTCAACGTGATGGGAATACCTTCAAGTGAAATATATTGCACCACGCCGCTGTGACCGTGCTCATTTCCCGCTGCTTTTGTAGTTATGCCGTTGGATGTTTGAAACTCGTAATGAAAGTCGCCACGTGTATTTGGCGCCCGATTTGTGTAGTAAATAGTGTGCGCATCACGATCAATTGATCTAATGGCCGCTTTTGCAGGCTGGAATTGTGTAAAAATACCACAACAGAACACACAGCACACCAGGAAATGCAGTAGCTGTTAGTTTGAGACAATAGGGAGGGGAAACAACAACATATTAATTAATATCCACATATACTGTTAGAGAATAAAATTATAACACCAACCATCGATTGGAATTGCAATCCAACGCCGTATCGAATTTTACGTGTCACCCGCATTGTAAACCACATTCCCATTTGATTAAATGTAGCGTCGAATGACAGTAGGAATGAAGCCGCCGTTTTTTTATTTGAGCACCACCGAAAGTCAATTCGCAGAAACCTTTATTTATTCCAGTACGCACATGCACACACACGCGAAGTCGATAGCACAGCTAATCTACATCAACCGCACCCGTAACGAAATGAAAAGCGATTTTGGCGCTGGGAAGCTTTTATAGATGTATGTGCAGGCATGCAAATTAATTTGGCAAACAATTTTTTTGGACGTTAATTAGTTTATGGCGAGAATTGGCGTATTCCACGGCAAGTTGTTTATGTCAATTCAAGCATTTGATGTGACGTGTGACGCCTGCGCTTGGGAAGCATCTGAAACAAGTGAGAGAGTGAGTGAACCAGTGAAGAGTGTAGCACACACTGCAACGAGATCGCTGTTATAAATCTTGCTCAGTACGTGTGCGGAATGTGTGTGTCATAGCTCGGAATGATGAGTGTGTGACACTTCTCGAGTGCAATACTTAATTAATTAAAACTGAACCGGATGGTGTGATATGGTGTTGTCAATTGGCTGCTACATGAAATCATAAAATTTCATACACTGAAACTCATAGAATTTCCAACATTTTTAAGTTTGTAATGCGATTGTCCTGTAGCGAAACTATTTACATATATCAGTAAATAAAATCTTCATTTGTGTACCGATATGGTAGCCTCTTAAATACTTTTTATTTTTATTTTGGATTGAAAGAGTGGTTGGGGAAACATGCCTCTTGTCGATTAGAGAATGATTATCTGCGTTCTTTTCATGAACCATGTTTATGAAAAAAACTAACCCTTGCAAATATTTCACAAAAACCACCATGCACTCAGTTTTGCCCTTTAAGAGTATACATATGTATGCCTATATCTATCTCGATTCCTTAAGGCTCATACAAACAAACTTTAGGCGAACAAACTAAGTCGTAAATAACGCTTCTATCATGCAGAAATAAATAAAACGACGAAAATCGTGGAGAACTCTGCCCCATTGCGAGTGTCGTGTCGAGTACCAGTCGTTTTTTGAGAGTCGAGTCGTATCAAAAATTACATGGCATTGCCAAAGGCGATGTAAAAATGATGTGTTTGTTGTAATTTTGTTTTGTACTGATTGTGAGTATAATTTGTTATTGTAGTTGTTTGTTTTTGTTCTGCCAACACCATCTTGTATAAATTCGCCTGGCATTGCCTAAACTTTCCGACTTAACTAGTGTATTTTAATGGGAAAACTTGGCAGCTCTGGATAGTTTCAACAATTTTTGTCGTCTACTTATTACAGCACGACAATAGGCAATGCCATTGTCGAATTGTACAATTTAGTCTAATTTACGACTTGCCGCAATGAGGCTGACTATCCAGTGCTGCCAAGTTTTAATACACTAGTCGAGTTTTAGGCAATGCCGTACAATTTTCGATACGACTCGACCTTACTCTCGAAAAACGCCTCGCTCTCGACACGACACTCGTAATAGAGCTGAGAAAAATTTGAATTATCGAGGGACCTACAGTTTAACGCCGACTCCGAACGGCGATTGTATTTTTATGAGAAGCTGGCGATGGTCGCTTTCAACCAGTCAACTATTTTTTCGGATTGGGCTGTAGGTGGTCGGTGGTGGGTGCGCACACTGCAGACTAAATCTGTGGGCAATCGCTAGAATATCGACGACGGGGCTGCTAACTTTCTTTTACAGATGAAGTACCATATGAAGCGCCAAAAATATGGCACTAACCCTTTGCACAATTAATATACATACATATATATTTGCCTAAACACTTGACACATTTTTTAAAAGAGTTCGTTTACGACGAGCATCGCCTGTTCGGCGGCTCTAAGTAAACACCCTATTACAATCGATTGGAGACGAGAGATAGGCTCTTAAACGCATTAATGCAAAGCATCAGCCTCCTAATTTCCAATTAAAGTAGATCCAATTATCTAAATTGCGCCGTTCCCACGACAGTCGAGTCTACGTAACTCGCAATGGCTGAGTGAACAAAGCACTAGACTGCCCATTGGGAGATCCGAGTTCAAGTCCGAGTCGTCGGCCAGGAGCTTTTTTTTGCATTTTTTTTTTAGTTTATATTTTAATGTTTTAAAGAGAAAAAATATTTTTTTTTTTTAAATTAATTTTTATGATATTATTCTTAATAACGATTTATTAAACTATTATTTCCTCGCTTCATAAAAAATATTCATTCATTAAATAGCGTCTAGCAGAAGAATGTGTGTATGCACATTAGGGTGGTAAAAAAAAAAAAAATGTATGTAAAGAAGTAAAGTTTGAATTCGTATACTCTAACCCCCTAGGATTGTTCTATACCGAAAAGATATACCCCTACTTTTTATTTTGAAATCAAAATATATTAGAGGTCGCTCAAAGCGCTCAAAGTTTTCCATTTATTTTATATAGGGAAAATAAACAACTTTCGACCGGAAAACTCTGCAGACAAAGGAGGAGGGTATCAATATTAAAATTTGGTAGTTTTTCAAAGCTTATCGCAAATCACAACACTGTCGTTTTAAGACGCACAATAACACTTCACTCCACTAACAAATGTCTTAATTAAAAAAAAAAAAATCATAATCCACTTAACAACTGATGAGTCGTTTATTGTTATTGTGCTTTCGCTCTGTATTTGCTTTATTAATATTTTTAATTAATCATGTTAAATTATTTTTAAATTTTAATGACTGCAATTATTCAATATGTATGTACATTCATATGTGCATATGTATGTATGTATGTAGACACCAAGGTGACCTACCGAAAAAAGCAGATATTTAATCTGATAAAACACTCAGTCAATTGTTTAGTAGAAATCTGATAATTTAAGTACCGCAGACGCGAGCGTGATTGGCGAGAGGTGCTATCTAACTGTGAGTCACATACAGTGTTGCCAGAGAAAAATTTCGTTTGGAGCTAAGACGGCCGGAAAAAAGAGCTAAAAAGAGCGAACTAATACTAATAGTAGCTAAAATGAAGAGCTAGTTTTTTTTTAAGTAGAGCATTTATTGACGTGAGGTTGTTTTTACATTTTTCGAAATTTTTTTATAAAAACAACGAATTTTGTAAGTTTAAGTGCTGAAAAAAAACTTTCAAAATCAAAATAAAGTTTATATATTTCGAATTCGTTATAACACTTATATGCATGCACATACTTAAATAATTTAGATAATGAAATAAAAGTACTTTACAAACTGTTAAAATCTGCAATTTCAGATATTTGAATTGACTATACAAACTCGGGCTACGAATAATTTTTTTCGAAAAATTTGTCTGAAAAGTTTTACTTCCTTCTCTCCTTAAATGTAAAATTAGTAAGGTAAAAACGAAATCCCCGCGTTTAGAAAAACGATTTTCTTCTAATTAATTTTCGAATTCATTCATTAGATCCATGAGTTTATGGCGCAGTCTGTATTTTCCCGTGTGGATACAAATGTATGTATATTTTTTCACTGAATTTCGAAGTTTGTAACTTTATCAATTCTTAAGTTTTGGCTTTGCATAAACTAATTGACTTACTTTCCCATTTTCCATTTGCTTGCGCGCCATTTGTATTAGGAATGGAAGTTTTCTAATTATTTTCGATTCTAAATTAAAGGCAAATTTTGTGTTCATTTCTGAATATGTCACACTCTTTTAAGGTAAAAAAGGCACATTCTCTGCCCTGTTAAGTTTGGTCGGGGGAGATGGTTGCCCTGAAAATCAGATGGTGGTTTAAAACGGCAATTTTATGAAATGCATGCGCTAGACAAAGACAAGAAGGCAAAAACATGCCCTTTTACAGGGTTGAGTGTAACATCAAACACATTTTGCACCGGGGAAGGGCAATATTTTTTAGAAGAAAATTTTTTCTTTACATTTAATTATTATTGTTTTCGACCAGTTTTTAATTTGTACCATTTATTAATTGGAACAGGAGAATCGATTTTTTTTCAAAACTGCTAATTTTTTTGCACTTTGGCACTAAAAAATTTAATACAAGGAAATAAAAAATTCAAAAATAGGGCTCAACTGGCATCTTGCAAATTTTATAAGCATTCAATAAGAAAAAATTTGTCAAATTGAGTTAAAAATGAAATATCCAGTAAATTGCACAGTTTTGAACCACTGTGCGATGGCTGGACATCTTCTACCAACACAAGTTATATTGGTGTTACAGTTCATTTTATTGACAAAAACATAAGGCGTTTGTTTCTCAGCTCTTGTTGTTGTGTTGTGTTGACAAGGGTTTTAGAATAAAAAATAAATGACGATTTTGTTATTTGTTTACATAAATTGTTAAACGTGTACATGTAAAAAAAAGTAAATTCAGATGTTGCCTGCGCTTTCCTGTCTACAAAGATTAATCGCTGTACATAATACAAAGTACGATACTGGTAGCCACGGCTACTAGATCAGCAACTAAATAGACACCAGTCACCATACATAATTAAGATTGTTAGAAGATTTGTGTTTTAACTTTAATTGCTTTGCTTTTATAATAAATAATAAATAATTAAGTGAACGAAATTGTGCACTTACCATTTTTTACTTTATACACTTACCGATTATTTACCTTTGTAGATGTGAGATATACATATCGAGCCCTAACCGCCAAAATAACGTAAGCGAAATTTTTTTCAACAAAATTTTGAAAAAAATGTCGCTTTCGTTATTTTGGCGGTTAGGGCTCGATATGTTCTTTTCAAGATTTTCGAAGTGAAAGGCAAATAAGATTTCGCTATATGTGTGTATATTTATACGTATACATACGTACATATGTATATGTATTTAGATAACCCTAGTGTGTATGTGCGTATATTAAAATGACAATTCGCTTAAGTAAAATTATGTCTAAATATAATTTGTGATACTTATAATGGTCTTTTAACTTTTAATGATTAAATATATTTACTGTGTAAGTATAAAATAAATGTATAAAATATTTCATTCTATTTTAACATTCGATAACGACCACGATCCTCATCATTCGGATGTTTGCTTATATACTCTAGCGAGCGGAGTATATAGTCTGGTATTGGTGGTGGTCTGGGTATGTGACGTCCAACTGCATGGAATCCCAATTCGTCAGCAATGTAACGCACTTCGATCGGTATGCCTTCGGGGGACATATAGCTGTAGATACCTATCGCCTCAATAGCGCTACCAGCGGCCTGTACGGAAATACCGTTACTCGTTTCATATGCATACCTATAGATGCCTAAGTCATCGGCCGGTGCTACTTGAAATAGAGTGATGGAGGCATCCGAATCGTCAGGTTGAGCAGCTTGCACCATCATGCCAATGGGATCGGTGATGATGCCCACAAGGAACAACACTAAAAAGACACACTGTGTTTTGTTAAGAATGATATGTATACATACATATATGCGTAAAAATTAAAAATTAAAAATTAAAAAGGTTTTTTTGGTTTAAACTAAAAACCGAATTTTGTTAAAGTTGGATATCTCTTTCATCCAGTTTTCACATTTCTCTCTTTCTAAGCATGAACATAGAGTAGGATTAATATGGAGATGATTTCGAAGGCGGCTACGACGATCAATACGAAGAACAACACGACGAAAAATACGAACAGGAATACAAAGACTTATACGAGGGTGAATACGAAAACGCTTTGAAGACGGATATGAAGGTGAAGGTGGAGTCTAATACGAAGACAAGTGCGAATATAAAGGGGA